TCCAGGTCCCTTCCAACTCCTGACATCCTGTAACTCTGTGATATGGGAGTGCTTTGATTCTCACTGGGTTTTTCCTACTCCAGTTCCGAGCTCGCAAATTCAGGGCTTTTGCAGAAGGAGGTTGCAGAAGGCTCCTCACCAAAGCAGAACCTGCTGCTGACTGGGAAAACGCAGTCTTTTCTCTCCGAAACCACTTCCTTCTTTCTCTAGGAACTGGGCTGCGACCAGCCAACCGCACTCAAGCAATAACCGTTTTGAAACGCAAGTGAAAGTATCAGCAATGCTGAAGAATAAAAATACCAGAGCCCTGGGAAATGCTAGGAAGGTGGCCAACGGAAAGCGCGGTCCCTCCTGCAGGGAGCGTGATCTAGCTGTTGAATTGCCGAATTAATGAAATCTTACCAACGAGGTTCACTTCACAGAGTGCTGAAAGGAGCCCAGATTTCTTGCGTTGTCTTAGTGGTTGCACTCTGATCCCAGATGGGCGGATAATAATGTTATAAATGATTTACTGCCGTACAGTATATGTTATGGGAGGTTTATAGAGATCAAATCGCACAGTGAGCTGGAAAATCCTCTCTATTGTCGAGGCTGTTCCCTGGCTGCTGTTGGCAGTAGTGCATTAATGGCATGTGAGGGAGTTTGCCTTATTCAAACAATAGTGCAGGCATTATAATTTAATTACTCCCATCATTAGGCCAGTTTTGTTAGGAAAAAACACCCACAAATGGAAAAAAACCCGAAACCACGGAGTTTTTTCTTAGCTGCGTTTAATGAAGGGCTCCCGGTCCTTTCTGTAAGCCATCTTCTTTGCAACGCTGTATTTTACTGATAAGCAGCAGGGGTTTTTTTACAGAACAGCAGATTTTCACTTTCCACTCCTGCTACCCTGGACCAGATTTACACCTTGGTTGTCTTTATTCCTGAAATGAAGCGCCTTCTTGGCAAGGATTTCCTGGGCCAAATTGAGTAGCCTCCTGTCTGCAACCTTAGGATAGAGGCTAAAATTGTAGTTAGGAAGGGCAATCCCTGGACTGGGAAGAGACAACTCCTGAATTTTAAGCGTAGTACGGCATAGCACACAGGAGCAAAGCGTTTCTGGAGCTCATCTGTGTGGCAGAGCCGGGACCCGGTGGTGCAGCCTGTGGTGATGGTCCCACCGATAGCGGCACGCTTTCCCTTTGATGTGGTTAAAGCCTCCTTTCATTTGTTTATTTTTGCTGCCAAATTACTTCACTGGGTCCCTGGTGCGGGACAGATACTGCAGGGTATCGTTACCTTCAGCACAGGAGGAAGCGGAACGTGACACCTGAATGACAGTAAATGAAGGCATTTGCCGGTGGCGAGGGCCCGGTTACACGCGCTGGACTTTACTCCGAGGCATGGCCCGTGCTCAGCCCTCGGGGACAGATCCAACCCCGTCAGCGGTCGCCCAAATCTACAGAGAGCTTGGACGGCCTCGAAGGTGCTCAGCACCTCCCCTGCCATGGGTTCTGCAGGATTTCTCTCTGTGAACTCTGTAGAAATGTGATGTTTGCAGGTATCTCAGTGTAGTCTGGAATTAAACAGGTAGACGGTTCTTTATTTCAAACGGGATGTGGCCTCATCCACCGCTGCATTTATTTCAGCGTGTGATCTGCTAGTGCCATGGGGACACTGGTGACTTGCGGGGAAAATCTTTATCAGTGAAGTATTTGTTTTATTCATTGCTTTCCACTATGTTTAAGCAGCTGATAATCCTCTCAGAGGAGGACTGAGAGGAGGAGGTTGCTGTTTGGAAACCGTGTTGAGGATCTTGGTGGTAACGTGGAGTGCAAGGTCAAAGTTATCGTTACTGCTTTCTACTGCTGCTGTCGTCATCTCAATCAACACTTCTGTTTCAATACTAATACCCCCAAAATAATCCATGGCACAGAGAGCCCATCTCTAGCCAACAAACTACAAATGGTGTTAGTGGTTTTGGTTTTAACCTCAGCATGGCCCCGTTGTGCCCACTACACATGGGAAGCATCCTCCACTTATACTGGAAATGGGAAGGCTTTCCACCATGGGCAGAGCCCAACCCTTTTGGGGGTGCCCAGCCAAACCCTTGGAGCATGGGAGGGTGAGACCCTTTCCTCCGCACAAAGCAGAGATCAAGGGATGTGCGTGGAGCTTGGTGCCGACCCAGGCTCCCCCCAGCCCCACGTTGGGAGCGCTGGGCTTTTCGTGAGCCGTGCCTGTGGTACCCGTCGTGCGGGCGCAGGAGGCTGGGGGTGATGCTGCCAGCTGTAATCACTGCTCCATGGCACCGTGCAGCATGAGGCTCTTATTTGCTTTGTTTATTCAATCTCTCGTCACCCTCTAGGCATTTATTTCTTGCCCCAGAGTCACGATTACTGCTTTAATTATTAGCATTTCCTTTGCCAGCAGCTCCATAGCTTTCATTCCCTGAGTCAGCAGGGCCCGCTGCAATTGAAAGCCTTGAGTGCTTTACCCTACCGAGACGCGACTGTAACTCGATGAGCCATTTGCAATGGCAAACCCATTTTTAAGCTCCCAAACCTGAACAGCCTCACTTCAGTAAGTGCTGCTACCAGGAGTCTTTGCAAATAATGACTTTTCATGTCAAAGGCCTGGATAATTTGAGAGGACAATGAGGAGTAGTTCGAGGCCTGAAGTTTGAAATGCCTCAAAATTATTATAATTGGGTGTGTTGCAGGAGGGGGGGAAACCTCCGTATTTTAAATACCTTTTTAAAAACCAAATTCATCAGTCAGATTCGGGGAACTAAGAAAGCAAATCCCATGTTTATTTAGGAACCCGGGCAAAAGAAACGCCGAGTGGGTTCTTCCCGTTGGTTGTGCAGCGAGGATTAATGTGCAAATGCTGCCCTGGGTTTTGAAGACCTCGCTCAATTTGGGCTTGGACGAAACTCCGCTACCCCTCGAGGTCTGGCTGAGCCGCTGGCAGATGAGGGCTGACCCAAAAACAGAGCAAGCAGTGGTTTGTGAGGGTGTCGTTAAAACAGGAGTCATCTCATGGAGGAAAAAGCGCCCCGGCCGCGTTCAGCTCAGCAGTCGCTTGGCATTTTCCCTTTAAATGGCTCAGGAGATTTTTCACTTTGGAATTAAACTTTTCTTTCTCAATATGTCTCAGTCTTTGGGCTTCTGGGCTGATTTCTGCATTCGCTGTTCTCATTTTAATGATCTTCGGTAGAATTTTAGTGGCTACCGAAACATCCCAAGCCACTGGAGAAAAGCAGATCTAAACAGATCAGTTAAATTTGAAAATATACCAGGGAAAACCTTCAGTTTCCATCCAGAGATAAATCTAACAAGCCAGTGCCTTCTATTACAGTAAGTTTTGAGTGGCTCCACAGCACTTCTGATTACAACACGGTGAATTTTACCTAATGAAGTTCCCAATTGCTCGTGATTTTTCGGTCAGGTGGATCTATTTCTAAACTCATCCATCTGCATTAGGTGCTTTTCCAGTTTCCATAGTAACCGGGCAATTCGTCATCTTTTAACCTATCTGGCCTTACAGTATCTTACAGAGAGAAACAGCGCGTCCAGTTTATAAATGTGCAGCCAGAGGTGCAGGGAACGGAGTGATTTGCCCCGGGTGACAGAGTTCAGCTGCAGCTGAATGGGGTAAGAGCGTCGCTTTTTGGGTTCCAGGAAAATGCCGGCGCTGCCAGGCTGTCCTTTCCCAGGGAGGCATTTGCTGTATCACAGCAGCACCAGCTGAAGGTTGTTTCCCAAGTGCTCTTTTTCTCAGGCTCCAAAAAAGAGACTTTCAGCAATGAGGAGGTTGGTACAGAACGGGGTGAGTAATGAAACGAGAAATCAAAACTTGCAAGTAATGTATTCAGCAGAAATGCCAGCCGCATTCTTTGGATAAATAACTCGCAATGAATAATTCAACCGGCGTCATCACTACGGGGCATAGGAACGGGATTGTTTTTGAATCATTTGGCCTTTTCTTCACAAAAAAGTTCAGCCCCAGATTCAGCCCCTGATGCGTTTCCAGCCCTGGATCTGGGGTTTGCTCATGGCTTGGACAGAGATGGCCTGGGGTCAGATTTGGGTCTGCACCGAGCCACCCTCGCTTCAATTCGCAACCTAAAGAAACTCCAGGAACGTGGTGTTTTATGGGATGCGAGTCAAAGCCACCCTTCAAAAAATGTAGCCTCAAAACCTTGTGAAAACAGCAAAACATTGAAAGTTATTGAGGAACCCTGGCTTAGCGCAGCTCACGGAGTAGGGAAAAGGCTGGTGGCCTTTGGAACAACTTCTCACATTAATTTTCTTCCAATGCTGACAGCTTTGATTTATTGCCTTAAGGCTGGTTAGAAAACACCCAGACGTGAGCGAAGCCAGGAGTTATGGAAAGAAAGGGAAAATATGGTAAACGTAGTGATGGATAGCGCTGGTAGACAGACAAACCCGGCTCTGCACTCCTCCTGCACCCAAATATTGTCTTAGAGTGAAGATGGGAACTGAGGTTTAGCTTGCACTTGCAGTATTTTGTCTTTCACTTCTCATACGTTGAATATTCTGCCAGAAACCCTCCGGGGACCATGGGTTTATTTTCCTTTTCTGTCAGCTGAATGCCAGCTGGAGCACCAGCCAAAGGAGGACTTGGAAAATGAGAGAGAGAAACGCAGCGGCTGAAAACGTTCTTGAAATGGTTTTGCTGTGAGAACTCAGCGCAAGTGACTCCTTGGCTTTCCCTTTCCCTGACACCGAGCAATGCTCCAGAGGGCTCTGCCTCTGTGGGTGACACCAGAACCCTGAGAGGCAGCAAAACCCGTGTTGATTCCTCCTTAGAAATCTCAACAGCGTCTGATTTCCCAACAGAAACGTGGTAAGATCATTTCAAGAGGGTTTTCTTGTTTGCTGAGAGTCCCTGGCTGCCCAGCGCTCTCGCACCCCTTTTGCCGTATCAAATCCCTGTTTATGAAAGACGAACTGGCCCTGCAAACCGAAATGAAGGGAATCACCGAGGAGCACAGCATTGTGAAAGCTGCCTCTAATTTCATCAATGGCTTTAAATATTTAGAGAGCGCAATGTAAACATCTTAAGAGCAAGCAGACGGGTTCCTCTCGATGCTCAGGACCGGGGGGCTGTTTGAACAGCGAGGCAGCTCGCTGGCTGTGGGACCGGCGGTTCAGACTTTCCACCAAAGTTGTCTGTGCTCGTGTCATTTTTTTCCCGCTCTCCCTTCAGCCTAAATTGTTGGCGCGGCGTCCCGAAGTGTTTCTCATTAGTAAACTTTGCATAACCTCCACGACTGTGGAGTACGAGGTAGCGGGATGCCAGCTGGAGCTGGCACTTGGCACGGGGCGCTGCGCCGTGTTTGCTTAGCTGGGTTGGAGGGACGGCCCGGCCTGGCCGGCGGGACACGGGACTGCCTTCGCACCGCCACCGCTGGCCCCGCTCCAGCCGTCCCGTGTCCTTCATGGGAACGCTTTCCACTTGTCGCTTCCATGCTCAGCCACAGCTCCCAGCAATCTGCCCCTACAGCCAAGTCCAACAGCCACCAGAGTATCGCTGGGGCAGTGGTACTCTGCTATATAAAGTAATGATGAGATTCCAGAGCGGCTCAGTGTGTATTTAATGCTGAATTAACAGTTTTTCAAGGGTAAGAAAGCCCCGTTTTCCCTTTTTTCCACCTCAAAACTCCCAGCAACTCTGATTTCTTTTAAAGGGTCTCACCTGAGCAGACAGGAGCCGTACGTGCAGCAGGGATCAGCACGCAGGGGCTGTCAGCAGACATCACAGCCACTGCAGACCACGTCTTTGTACCATCCACTCGTCAAACAATCAAGGCTATTATTTTAAATACGTGAATTTTCAACCCACACACACATTTATGCATAATTTATGTAATTTCCTAGGTATAGGTCTTATTTTCCTTTCTCCAACATGGAAAACAGCGCGTGAACTCTGAGTAGTTCTCAGATGCTGAATTCCAAATTGTCTGAATTAAATTTGAGTCCCGGTGGGTTCTGCGCCTTCCCAGTTGTTCATCACTTGCAGGGTTTATTACATTTCAGATGATACTATTAAATCCAGCCACCCCTAGAGATGCTGCTTAGACTTTGCAAGTCTAAAGAGCCAAAGAATCCCCAGAGCTGCTCCAATTTAGCAAAGCAGTAATTTAGGTTTCCTTTAAAAGGACGATGCATTGTAACTTCTAAAATGTTTTATAATATGTTTACAATTTCAATTTCCCTCCAATACCTTTTAGGAATTAAAAATGTCTTTTCCCCCAGTTTAGATCCTTTTTTTCTATTTAGCAAACATTGATTTTTACTCCCTTCCCCAGTGCTTTTGGCCACTGCCAAAATTAACGTGTCTTGGCTTTGCTTTCCAGCGAGTCCATCAGGGGACGTTAACGGGAGTGGGTCCTGCTCCCTCCTCCCTGGCATCAGTGGATGCAGCTGCCCACGACACAACCAAGGAGATTCGGAGCTGAAAGGGTCTTGGAGCCTGCGCGAGGAGTCCAGGTCTGTCTCGTGCTTTATGGGGGCTTTTATGAGACTGTTCACTTGTAAGAGTAGACACTCAAACATAGAGCTTTAAAACGCTTTTGTTTCATGCTGCGTGTTGGAGGGCCCAACATGCCTGGCTCCGAGTTGCTCGCTGAAATGTTTTATGGTGCAGACGTTGGCGAGACGCGTGGTAACACAGAATCCCAGCATGTGAGGAGTTGGAAGGGCCCTGGAGAGCTCCCCCAGTGCAACCCCTGCCAGAGCAGGATCACCAGAGCAGTCACACAGGAACACGGCCAGGGCTTTGGGTGTCTCCACACAAGGAGACTCCACAACCTCTCTGGGCAGCCTGGGCCATGCTCCATAACCCTCACACTCACAAAGTTTGGCCTCATCTTCAGCTTGAACCTCCTGTGCTCCAGCTTGGGACCATTGCCCCTTGTCCTGGCATTGGCCATCCCAGAGCAGAGCCTGGCTCCTTCCTCCTGACACTCACCCTTCCCAAATGGATCCCCATGAATGAGGGCCCCCCTCAGTCTCCTCTGCTCCAAGCTCAAGAGCCCCAGCTCCCTCAGCCGCTCCTGTGGTCCCATATGAGTCGACAGCATCCACTTCCACGTGCCTGCTAGCCTGCTTCTTTCAGGGGCAGCTCCTTTGGCCTTGCCTGGCCAAACATGACCCCCCAGGGGTGATAAAGCCCTGTGACAGCCCTGAACCATGCAGTCCTTGGCCATGCAGCCAAGGAGTCCTCATGGGATGGGAGGGACCTCCCAAGTTCAGCCCTGGTCAAAGGAGGGAAGAGCTGCCCTATGTGTTTCTAATGGGCAATGATGTGAGCTTCTAAAATCTCCCCTTGCTGCAGCTTAAGGTCGCTTCTAACACATGGAGATCAGAGAGAAACCTTCTCTGGGCCAAGGTGCTGCATCAGGGCTGAGCTTCATGACCTGGGGGTCTCTTACCACCAGGACCAGCTGCACGGGCAGGGCTGAGCATGGACAGCCCAGGGTGCAGGTCCCAGATCCGCAGGGAAAACTGGAGAGGAGGATTTGGGCCACGTGGTGCCTGTAAAAATGAATGCGAAATGTTTCAAAAGTATATGAAATCTGCAGATAGAGGGTTTTTAATGTTTCAAAAGTCTTCAATATTAACAAAAAAAACCTCAACGGGAGTTTAAACAAACACAGGCAAGTGAGTCAGCAAGAAGATGTAAAATCATCAGGAAAGGCTGAGTTTGTTTTAATATGGGGATTACTGTAAACACTGGGAGTGCATGGGAACAATTTGTAGCCCATGTGTTTTGAAATATCATAACTGGTGTCAGTAAACACATTAAAATTCGACTTCAAAGAGCTCTGTGGATGTTTGGAGTGTCACGAAGACATTGCAAAATGGGGATTTTGAGATGGAAACAAGTATGGGAGCAATCAAACACAGCTCCTATGTGAAGAAAGGGATCTTGTCGAGTTGTTAGAGCTAAGCATCTGTGATGGTGATTACTGCTTCTAACTGGCCAGGAGCTGCTTTCGGCCCTGATTCCTCTCAGCGTCCCCCTCGCCTGCCACCCTGACCCTGTTTGTCTCACCCCCCTGTTAATTCTCACTTCTCAGACCCCGTTCTTCTGAGCAGAGCCTGCCCGTGGCTCTTTGTTTCTGCAGCTCTTGGAAAAGCCCGTCTGCTTCCCAGGCGCTATCTCAAAATAAATAACCAGTTCAGTTTGTATCTGTACCAGAACGACCCTGTCCTCATGTGCTGCCAGGCTGGCTTGGTTCAGGCGTCCATCATCGCATTTGATGTGCTCGATTCTCCGTGCACCATGAACTAAAACCTCCAGGATTTTAGGCTGAGCATCCTCCATTCTGTCTTGTCTGTATTGTGAACAGAAGATTTTTGTCCCGCCTCATTCCCACTTCCACTGGGTTAAAACACCCCCTCTTCCCTCACTTTCCCTTCTAATCTTTATTTCTGATGGATTTGGATTCGCTTCATAAATGCACTCCTGTTTGTGACACAAATCATGCGCATGCTCCAGGTTCTATAACTGCTGGATCTTTCAGCTGTGCAAGCAGAGACTTCTAACACTTAAGCTTTAGCACTTTAATAAATCCTTTGGTTTGTTTTTGGGATATCCCAGAAAGTGCTAAATTACTACTGTACGTAAAAAAAGCAGTATGTGTCTGTTTAAGCAACTCTGCCTTGAGATTCGTGCCCACCACCACACGCCAGCCTCTTATTTTTTCTCATTTCCATCTTTTTGATGTGTTTCATCATTTCAACATGAATTATTTTCCCAGCAATCCGAAATGCCAGCCCAAAATCCACTTGGGAAGCAGCGTTGGTCACCCTGCTGACAGAGCCATGGCCACAGAGCGCTCTCTTCGCCAACTTTGGCCTCCCCATCCAAAGAAGGCAACAAGGAAACGGTAAGCCAAGATAATGAACATTTTAGGGGGGTTAACAAAGATAAAGATGTGTCTCAGTGAGGCGGCAGATGTATTTTGACTAAGAAAGCAGGGTTGTTTTATGGAGAAATTAATGCCAATTCGTGGAGCCAGCAGCTCCCCTCAGTCCAGTTCCTCGTGTGTCTCTCCACAGCTGGAGACCCCTGGCAAACATCAGAGGCCAAGGACAGATGGGGTCCCAAAAAACGAGTGATCTTCCTGCTCCTGAACCAGCTCTTGTCGTGTCAGGGTAAGTCGCACCGCCCGGGGAGCACGAAAACTGTCGATGTCTCATTTTGTCTCTGCTATGAGTTCAATTTAAGTGACACAAACAGTAATTTCACTTATTACAGACCCTACAGTAACAAAGTGAATTCACACGTGCCCTTCTTAAGGTGATTTATGACAGGACCAATCTGAGGGCACAGATGAGCGTTCCTGCGTCTAGGTTCAGCTGCCGTTTAATAATCGCAGTCAATATTCCCTTGTATTAATACTCAACACCATGTTCAAGACAGAGTGCTTCGCTGCAGACCACGCAGGAGTAAATGGGGCTTCTAGCGCGATGCATATAACAGCCTCTTAAATGATTAGGACACCTGTTGACATTAATAGAGAAGCATGCATGGAAACAAGTGTGCCACACACTGAAATATATGTACACAAATATTAAGAGGATTAGAGAAATTGCTCAAGTGGATAGAGCGGCGTTTAACACAAGCACGTCTGGAATCCAAGCAGAATGGAAAAAACATTCGTGGGGCTGATCCCTTGTTAGGTGGCTTTGTTTTTTAGTGCTTCGTCGGGGTATAAACGTCTCTGCGCAAGGAGGTCGTTTGCTTACCCTTAAAATTTCTGGTTAATAAATATCTTTGTTTGGAATCTGCCTCTAATTCATAACCAGCTTCATTTAGGAGCTAGCACCTTCGCCATGTGAGCTGCAGGAAAAAGTAATTAAATTTAATAGAAGCCACCCTTGCTTTGAAGCTGCCCTGGATTTAGAGCCACAAGGAGAAGCAATTAAACTCTGGCAGCCAAGGATTCAAACTGAAGTTATATAGTGACTTTTTTTGTTGTTTTTTAAAGGAAATTTTCTCTGCAAATGGATTTGGATTGTCAGATCTGGTTCGATTCAAAGCTATAGAAATGCCCTTCTTTGGGAAATCTTCTCTTGAAGGAAAATTAAAAAAAACCACCACAAACAACATTTAGATGTGTAATGGGGATCGGTTGTGAAGATTTGGGGTATTTTTAATCCTTCTGCACAAGCTTCCACAAAAGAGTTTGCTCTCAGCCAAGTGGTGAGTGGAAGAGGGAGGCGCGGAAGGAAGACATCTGCGTGTCTGTTTATTTGCAGGCGGGTCAGCTTGTCAGCAGCCCAGGATATGGATTCATTAGGGAAGGAATTTCGCTGCACTAGAAGGCATCGTGAGCATTGTTTGAAGCTGTCAGGGGTTTTTAAACCGGCAAGAAGCAGAAATTGTTATTTCACTGGTGTGATTTTACCAAAAAATAGTCTGTAAGTAACAAGAACAGGTAAAAAAAAGACTCCAAAATGCCATAATCGCTGCAAAACATAGTTCTACCTGTTTAAAAATATTTTGAGGAGTTTCCTATGCATATCAGAAAGGATTTAGTTAAAGGTGTGCTTCCAATGCAGACATTCAGAAAAGCAAACTGGTAATTGAGTTAATGCTTACAGGGAGGCAAAACTGTCCCCATCTTCACCAACTCTTGGAAATATTTGTAGAGCCTTAGCTAAGCCAGAGGCACATGAAAAATGTCATTACTGCCATGCCTGTGGTGTGCAATTGGTGCTTGTCTGGTCTGCTCTGGGGCTCATTGCGGGGATGCGGTCGTGGTCCGTGGGCTGTGGATGGGTCAGAGCTGGTGAATTGATGATCCCCTGGCTGGAGCCGTGGAGAAGCTGCCCTGGCCGTGCCCAGATGAGGTAATGTGCCGGAAAAGCCCATTATTGCATCACTGGCTGTTGAGGGGTGGCTGGGGCAGACACGCTGGGAACGGCACACTGTGCATCCCCAAGGCTTCCCGAGCAATGGTGACCAGGCTCTGAAAGGGGAACTGTCGACTCCTCGCAGAATGTTTCACCCCAGCATTTTGGATGTCCCAGCTGTGATCTTTGACAATGGGTCTGGGTTATTCAAAGCAGGTATTGCAGGTGACAGCAGCCCGAGGTCTGTTTTTACAGCCATCGTTGGTCACCCAAAAGTCCAAGCCATGATGCTGGGAGCTGGACAGAAGGAGTGTTACATCGGAGAGGAAGCTCAGTCCAAAAGAGGGGTCCTCTCTTTGAATTACCCGGTTGACCATGGCATAGTTACATGCTGGGAGGATATGGAAAGGCTCTGGAGACACGTCTACGATCACGAGCTGAGAGTCAAAGCCAGTGAAAGGCCAGTGCTGCTGACTGAACCCCCCCTGAACCCTCTGAAGAACCGGGAGAAGATGACAGAGGTCATGTTTGAAGGCTTCATGGTGCCAGCCATGTACATCGCGGTCCAGGCAACTCTGGCCCTCTACGCGTCCGCCCGCATCACCGGTATCGTCGTGGACAGCGGGGACGGTGTCACCCACGCCGTCCCCGTGTACGAAGGATTCTGCATACCCCACGCTGTCTCCAGGCTGGACGTCGCTGGCCGGAATATCACCGAGTATTTTATGAAGCTTCTTTTGGAGAGCGGGCACAGTTTTGTCAGCACAGCTGAAAGGGAAATTGTGCGAGATATTAAAGAGAAGTTGTGCTACGTAGCTTTAGACCCCGTCCAAGAAATGAAAAAGAAGCCAGAAGATATGAGGGGATACAAACTGCCTGATAACAGTATCATCCATGTAGGCAACCAGCTCTTTCGTGCACCAGAGACCCTTTTTGTGCCTGCAAACGTTGGAGTTGAAGCTCCCGGTGTGCACCAAATGATCTTCAACAGCATCATGAAGTGCGAGATCGACGTGCGCAGGAATCTTTACGGCAACGTCCTGCTCTCGGGTGGGTCCACGCTCTGCCCTGGCCTGGAGGAGCGGATCCTGAAGGAGATGAAGCTGCAGGCGCCCTCTGGCATGTTCGTGAGGATCGTCGCACCCCCCGAGAGGAAATATTGCGTGTGGATCGGGGCCTCCGTCCTCACCTCCCTGACGTCTTTCAAACAAATGTGGGTCACCAGGAGCGATTACAACGAGTTTGGGGCAGCTGTCATTCACCAGAAATAACTGAAGGAGAGAGAACACCACGTGAACTGGATGGCTTCCTACAACACCGCGTGAGCAAGAAACCCCGCTGAGAGCCGACGGACCTAACAGGTGCTACAGGTTTTTGTGTGTTTATTGGCTGACAGAACCTGTCTGAAAGTAAAACATTAAAAATACTGGTAATGAAGATCTCATTGTTCATCGTCTGCCTTCCCCATCCCCTCCGCAGTTTACAGGGATATGGTAAGGCCTTGACTGACTCGCAGCCTGCCTTGGTGCCCTATGGGGAGCAGCAAACCTCCTCTGCTGGGAGACTTCTTCCCTCTAAGGTCTTTAAGATATCTGAGGTTTAGATTCTAAAACTAGCTTTCACATTCATTTTTGACCTCATTAAAAACATTTCCTTTAGAAACCCAGCAAAACCCCAAACAGGATCCAAATATAAATCAATGCAAATGCAATTACTGTAACAGACCCTCCTCTGTGCCTGAGGGCCTGAAAAAAACCCATCGATTCTCTGCTGTAATTTAGCTGGGATGTGAGAACACCCCGTTTCACTTCCGAGTACCAAATCAAAGCGCTCCACGCAGCCGGGTCCCCAAAGAAGCCGCGTTGCCGGTGCGGCCGCAGAGCACTGTGAGCTCATGGCTCCAGAATGTTTCGTGATGCCCCGTGCCAGCGGCCGGGCACAGCCCCGTCCTGCGCAGGATGTCGGACCCACCGGTGGCAGGGACCCGCGCGGTCATTTTTGACATCGGCTCTGGGCAGTGTAAGACCGGTCTGTCGGGGGAGCCGGTGCCCCGTTCGGTGATTTCTACTGTTGTGGGATACCCCAAATTCAAGCTTGCCATGTTAGGAGTGAGTCATAAGGACTACTATATAGGGGAAGAAGCCCAGTCCAAAAGAGGCATTTTGTCCCTTACTTACCCCATAGAAAATGGGATCGTTAAATCCTGGGACGACATGGAGAAAGTTTGGGGGTACCTCTACAAAGAAGAACTCCAAATGAATCCGAGCGAGTGGCCCGCAATGGTGACCGAGGCTCCCCTCAATCCTTTTTCCCATCGAGAAAAAATGGCTGAGATGCTGTTTGAGGGCTTCCAGGTGCCTGCCCTTTTCGTGACTCTGCAGGCGCTGACAGCCCTGTACGCCTGCGCCCGCACAACCGGACTGGTGCTGGACAGCGGTGACGGCGTCACCGCCGCGGTCCCCATCCACAACGGCAATTACCAGCTACAAGGCATCACCAGGCTGGATTTTGCAGGCAGAGGTGTGACCGAATACCTCGCTAGGCTCCTCTTGGAGTCCGGGCACTCCTTCGTAAGTACAGCGGAAAGGGAGATCGTCAGGGACATGAAGGAGAAGCTGTGCTATGTTGCTCTAGATCCCAGCCAGAGTATGCAGGAAAAGCCGGAAAAACTTATACACAGGTACGTTCTCCCTGATGGAAGGGTTGTCAAGGTTTTTTCCGAGCTCCTGAGGTGCTTTTTGTGCCCAAAGAGGCAGAAATCTCAGGGCCAGGGGTTGGGGACATGGTTCTGCAGAGCATCACCAAGTGTCCAGGAGACATCCAGGCTGACATCCTCAGGAATGTGCTGCTAGCGGGAGGTTCGACTCTTTTCCGCGGCTTCAAGAAGCGGCTTCAGAAGGAGCTCCAGGAAGAAGTTCCCGACACAATTCCTGTCAAAATCATCTCGCCCAAAGATCGGATGTACTCCACGTGGGTTGGCGCTTCCATCCTTGCCAGCTTAAAGACCTTTAGGAACATGTGGATTACCAGGGAAAAGTATAACGAGGTTGGAACGACAGTGCTGCGGGAAAATTGCTTTTGAGAGCTTCAGTAGGACCATCCAGGAATTCTTCTCAAGTGCCAATCTGAACAGCTGGAGAGCAGTTAATAAATCAGCACAAAAATAATTGATTTATAGTAAGTGTTTTTATAGCTCGCTAAAGAAAGGTCCCTTGTGCATTGGGTTGAAGAAGGAGTCCTTGTTCGGAGCATTTTGGCTATCCGAGATGTTGGTTTTAATTCTAGAAAAGTGTTGATCCCTGCTAGAACTGCAAACAGTTTCTCAGACTTTTAAACACTTGAGAACAAGCCACCTCCACCCCGTGCCCGTGGGGGCTGGCTCCTCGCCACTCCCCGTAAACTTCCAAAGAGTGCAGAGAGACTTCGGATGGAGAAATAGAGGGCTCGGGGGTCTTGCTGACCCCTGGCCATGGCACTGGAGGTCTCTGGGAGGAGTGTAGAGGGGAATGGGCTTCTCAATTTGGTTTTGCTTGCAGAATGGCCATCAGTTGATCTGGGGGTTCAAGCAGAGCTCTCAGACCTGGAAGTATCTCTACACTTCTATCGTATCATGTAAAACATTGCCTCCACTTGTCTGTCTGCGGGGTTCACTAATATTCTAGTGTAAAGACTGTGTGAGACTACGTGTAGATAACTTAATGTCAGTGTGTGTTATTTCACAGAATCACAGAATCCCAGACCG